TCAAAATTGATTCAAAGTTTCTAAATCTGCTATTGTATTCTAGAAATCATAGCTCAATGATGGAACAATTGACTATTTGGGAGTGGACTACCCTTTAAATCAAGACTGTTTTCTTTATTGGAAAACGAAATGAGCCCTTGTGAGATAGTCAAGATGCCTTTCTTTGTCTGCGATGACATGTCCCTGTGCATGCTGGGACAGAAATAGCACTGAACCTGCTCGTGACTGGATCACGTACGTGAGGAAGGCTTTGTGAAAGATATAGGTTATGTTCTCTTTCTTAATTTTTATTCCGTGATTGTTGCCTCCTCGGTAAACTTCACATATACATGTATGCTTTTATTAAACAAATTATAGTCAATCAATTTATAGATTGTCGTTTCCCAAACCCTATACGAAAATAAACCTCACCTGAATTGAATTGAATGAAATTCAAGAGAGGAAGATATCTGAAATTACATACCATACAGTATTATTCATTCTCAAACAGAAATTGGTTTGTTTTTGTTTTGTTTTGTTTTTGTTTGTTTTGGGACAATGAGCGGATACCAAAGAGCTCAATAACAAAATACAATTTACTTATCAAAATAAACTGTTATGTATGTACAATGACAATTAAATAAACAGCTTTAATAAATGTGGAATTTGTTTTGTTTGTTTATTTGTTTGATTTCCATCTGTATTGCCATACAAATAGTACAAGATCACCAAAACCAATTTTGAAGGTGACTCTTCTGCACAATGTGTGCCTACATATGAAAAGCCTAGGCATCATTCCATCAATATAATTTTGACAAGTTCATGATCCTCCATGACACATTTGTGTCATTGCCCCACATTCCTAAGCCTGGCTGGCCTGAATTACATAATATACAGGATACCGAGATTAAGAAAGGGGTCAGATGTTCTATGTCAGGTTCGCTTTCTTTCCTTTCCAATGCTAATATGACTGTACATCCTGGCTTAACACAGACATGTTACATAAGTTTCAGCACTCACTTCTTTCAGTTAGTATTTGGATTTTTCGGAAAGAGGATTTAGTCTTATTTTGTATCCAACCGAAACAAAAATAAGGTACACAAAGGAGGAGGTCATTCATTACAACGAAAAAACAAAACAATTGTTCAAAAGGTCTTCAGGTATCCCCTAGCCCCTATCCTAGAAAAACATCTCTTGACTTCAACATATAAGGGGGGTCTGCCCTTTAAAAATTCATCATATGATTCCTCCCCTCTTATGATGAATTCTTTATTCAAATGAAAATTCACTTCATTCAGTGCTACTTTTGATAAGGCACTGTGGGGGGGGGGGGGGGGGGGGGGGGGTCCCTGGTCATTTTATTTTTTGTGTACTAGGTTGGTATCTCATCTAGAATTACATCAATGCAGTGTTTTCCTTCAAAGAAATTTTTAAAAAACCTCCTGAATTTCAATCATACTTCCTAAAATCATACTAGTAAATTGGGCTCGTTACACAATACCATATCAAGAAGAATACAAATATAATCACTATAACTTGAACTGAACAATAAAAGGTACTAGCCATACAGCTTCTCTTCATCATGCTATCATAAAACCAATCATAGTCCAGACAATTCAGAGAAGGTAAACACATTATCCACTACATTGCATTGTGCCCTGGCAAGTCTGATCAACACAAACCCATTGTAATACAAATTTACAAACAAAAACTCCCCTCTCTGCCACCCTCCCTCCTTAACCCAAGGCTGGCCAGAACAGAGTGACCAACAATGGACCAGAGTTTGCCCATCACCAGGACAGAGGCCTATTCATCTAATTTACAGTATATAACATGATGTAGGCATAATACTCTCCACTTCATAAATGAACACCAGAGATGGAGACGAGAAAGACAAGGAGCCATTGTCTGGATCAGCTTACTCTATGAACCAGGTCGAAAGATGAAGTTGAGTTTTAGTCATGCATTGTGAAATAAACTACGTGGAAGTGATTGGGAAGACGATGATCCTGTAGCATGTGTATACTGTTATCAAATTGATAAGAAATTGGCCCAATCTTACTATTAAAAAAAAGTCAATGCAATGCACTACACAAACATGTAGCATGAGAGTATGGTTCATAACTTTTTAGTTGTCATACTTTGAATATGAGGGCATATCAAGAGCCATTCTTTTCAGGAGACCTTTTTTTCTTCTACGATACTCTTCCACACTAACATAAAAAGAATGCAAAAGGCTCACAAATTATTGAGCTATCCCAGAACTCAACTTTCTCCTTCACCACTTTCTTACTTCAACCTTACTATTGTGCTACAGATCTTGTGTTGAAGTGCTTTCTCACTACCATTCTTCCATTGGATTTACATCTAAGGTGGCATCGGTTACATGAACATTGTATTTGAAATCCAAGACCGCTAAAGTAGGAAGTTATGAAGGCCTACCGTACATGATTTGAAGCATGGTCAAAAGTGGGAAGGAAATTAAAGGTAAAGAACTAAAGATGTTGCCAATTACTGCTCAAAGTGAATGAGAACAATTACAGTTTTAAGCCCGACTATATTGTCTGATTTGGTTTTCAATAATTTATATGAAAAGTTACATTGGATCAGTTTTTTTTATTGGGAATCTAAAAGTTCTCTTTGATATTTCATATGTGTATGAAGCTTAAAAGTAATTGGAAGACATTTACAAATAAATCTTAACTTGAACACTCCCCCCCCTGACTTAAAAAAGAAAGAGATCTATCATTGTTACTGTAACTACAATTTCCCCATAAAACATAACTACAATAGATCCCTAGAAGACTACATCAATGTATGAGCAACAACAAATGATTTGCTGTTGTTGAAAATTTATGTCCGTAACTAGATTACACTATAAAAACATCAAAAATACAAATACCTATTGTGTGTCAAAATAAATAAATAAAATTACTATGAAATAAAGTCGAAGTTGTTTTGCTTCTGCTTCCTAAAATATCCTTCCTGGAAACCGAATATTTCTGTAGTTTATGACAAATTCAAAATATACCAAAAGGGAGAGAGATTCAACAAGTTTTGAGATACAAGATATCCTTGCTCTTGAGTTTACAACCATACACACACTAGTAACATGATGCATATTTGTATTATAACTGGTACTGATCAAGTTTACATTTTAACCATACGCAACTCACTAATTTGACTGTACAGAAAGGACTGTTTATTTCTAGGCTAATCGCACCACGCATGAACTTAGTGTTTACGATAACACATCCTCCCGGAGATACTTCATAGTTCAACTTGAAAGTTCAACATCAGTGTATGGATGATCAGTTAATTTTTGACATGCAGTGCTAAATAATGTCCAAATACCACTACATGTCAGAAAGGAACAATCTTCAAATTAATCCCAAATTTATTTTTCTATCAATTCAATCAATTCAATGTCCCCAATGAAAATTCAAATATAGATATCTACTTCATGAACATGTACATTACAATAGAATGCTAAAGATCATGAATAATTAAGCACACTTCCTTTCACAAGATTTTGGTCTTATGTCATTAGTAGAAAAGAGAGTGCTCAAAATCATGATACATGTACTTTCTTCAAAGAAATCTTTTTAGTAATCCAATTATCTATCATCAACGAGTCAAACAAATTGCCTAATATAGTTTAATCCGGACTGCTCAAAAATCATTTCTGGCAAAAACTCTTGCCAACATGCTGTATGAGGCCTTATACAGGAAATAATATTGATTTCCACAGGTGTTTATGATAACATCAAATTTCAGAGAGCTATTCTTGTATTTTATACATGCTCTAGGAATGTCTGCTTTAAATAAATCAGAGGTATTTCCTGTTTAACATATGAAGGTAAAGATAATGAGTGGATTTCACAGGTGTTGCAAGTGTTCCAAAAAGCATTAAAATTCCATGCATGAATTACAGAGTTATCCTCAAACAATGAGCAAATCTCAACATGTTGAGCTTTCTACAACATCTCTGGAAGTAGTTTGCATACATTCTCCTGTCTTTTTTACCAGATCATAATTGATTTACCACAAAAAGTATATATGCAAAAGAATAAACCATTTCCTTGAGCTTTAATCTTTTTGTCATATTCATAATATTAATCTGATTGTATAACGTTCTATAACCTTTGGTATTAGCCTTGGTGTAGCCATAAAAAATTGTCTATATATTCAGAATAATTAGATTACAAATAAAAAATTAAAAATTGAAAGTCATCTCATTGAAATAATTACAATAAAAAAGAATTGAAGAAAGTTCACCAATGTCACACATTACTATCACATACTTTAGACACCACATGAATACCATGATATCATTACCATCTATCTTTTCAGAGCAAAGGATAGAATTATCTTAAAGGGAAATCCAACCATGATAGCAAACCACTCTACAGGAATGCAGGAAAATCAGAGAAGTAGACTGGTCAAAGTGTGAATGAATTCATACAAAAATTGTGAAAGTTGTGAATTTTTTAAAGTTGTAATTACTATAGGTAATGGCTCTTGAAATTGGCTGATACAGTAACGTCTCTGTGATGTAGCGGCGGAAAACTTTCCCATTTATTTCAACACACAAGATGACTTAAATTTTGTTCTTTTTTCTCAGGAGGGTCTTTTCTCTTGAGAGGACCTTTGATAATATGCCATCCATAATTGTATTCTGAGTAGTGCCTCAAGGGAGTAGGCACTTACATGTAGGAGATAAACCTATATTAATTGTATTTTAGTACACAACAAACAGGAGAGTTATCCACTACTATGTCACAACCCACTGACCAAACTGCCAATTTGAGATTTAGTGATTTCATATTTCGAACATTCATAACGTTTTTTACTACTTGTCTGATGTGTTTCAAACTTTCGCCACAGTGTTTCTCTGGTTTTGTTTGCCTTCATAACAATGAACTAATTACAAGGGTTGGATTGCCCTTTAACATACATAACCTTCAAGCAGTACCTTGAACAAGCTACTATAACAAAGATACAGGAAAAGCAGCACTTACCCGCAGGATTTCTGGTGATATATAGTCTGGTGTTCCCACTGCCACGTTTGACATAACCTGAATAGGACAGAAATAAGAGGGAGAACAATTAGATCTTAAATCAATCAAAATATAATCCCATTTTCATTTTTCAATACGTTTACAAAAGTAAGAGTTACCATACCAAACAATGCAAAGTTATCTAATATTAAAATACTGATCATGTCATTTTAAGGATAGTTATAATAATGATCAGGTAAAAATTTATTTGGGTTCTAATACTTACATTCTCCACTTTCCCTAACTTAAATGACCAAACACCATATTAACACTAATCCTAACCCTACATCGTAACAAATTTTTAAAACCTTAACCCTAACGCTATGTCCCCCCCCCCCTCAAACAAAAACAAAAACAACAAAAAAATGTTACCAGAGCAAAAATTGAATTACCATTTAGAAATTAGTTATAATCTGCATGATCTTGAAGAAATTCTTGAAAAAATTCATGGAGATTGTCTAGGACAAGATCATGATCAGCAGCTTGTAATCTTAAAACCTTGCATCCCTTCCATACAACAACACTACCCAGTCTGTCAAATGCTCCACGTACACCCCGAGAGGCTGAATCTGGCTAGAGCTTAATACAAAACAATAGCCCTGTTCCAACTTACCGTATTATCTGGAAGCATCCTGAGGCAGGAGCCAAAGTCTGCCAGTCGTATGTGACCGTGCTTGTCCAGGAGCACGTTGTCCGGTTTGATGTCCCGGTGGACATAGCGAAGCATGTGCACCGAGTCGATGGCGAGCACCATCTCGGCCACGTAGAAGCGGGCCATGTCCTCGGGTAACCGGTCATCGAACTTGCTGATGAGGGTCAGAAGGTCGCCGCCGCTGTAGTAATCCATGACCAAGTACTGAAAGGAAACGAGAGAGTAGATATCATATGAAATTGTCTCTCTCTCTCTCTCTCTCTCTCTCTCTGAGGAAATTATGGATGATGCTACATCAGTATGGTTTGATTTCACCATGATGATAGGAAAGCACGGAAAAGCCTTAAACTAAGCTCTAATAGACCTATGGCTTTATACCTCATCCAATGCTAATGACTTGTTGATATCGGATAATTGCCTTAACTAAAGGGCACAGGCATACTGACGTGGGCTCGAACACAAGTTAACTAATTTCTAAAATATCCCTCCACTAAGCCATACCACCCCCATCCTCTTCCCAAGATGTAATATCAACATCTAAAGGATTGCTACATTTATAATGATCATGATTTATATGAAGACTATTCAGAGTTTCATATCCTTATTTATTTATTTCTGAAGATTAAGACAATGTTTAGAATGATCTTAGACAACATTCTTACCAAGAAATCATCATCTTGGAAGGCATAGTGAAGATTGGTGATCCACCTGCTGTCTCCATGTACAAGTACATCTCTCTCCTCAACAAAGCATGCCGTCTGTTTCAGAAAACAATATATAAATACAAAAAAATACATGTCAATAACATATATATATATACCAAAAGAATATTCATAAATTTTACTAGTTTATCAGTTACCCCAAATAGTCATCAATAAAAGGTATTTTACTTTTTACCCAAATATCAATGAATTAAAACTAGTTACCCAAAACACCCATTGATCAAACATAATTTACGAGGTCCTATGATGTATCTCTATTGACTGTGCTTCTGTCGGCATCTACCAATTCCATATCCAATCTATCCATCTACCCAGGATCATATCTGTTTGTAGTACTAAATACAATACCCGGCAAATACAAGGAAAGGCATATTGATTTTATTTCTATTTCTTGAATTTATTTCAAACCAATAATTCCCACTAATTTTAGCTTGCATGTTCATTTTTGCAAGATTTTGTTGTACATAAAATAATATCATAATACCCTAATGACCAAATAACTCATTAACTGGATATTCACTAGGTCACGCACACACTTCACGTTTGAATCAAATAGATTATTTGTGACAAACTTTATTCAATAACAAAATGGGTAAACCACTAAAGCAAATATCTAACACTTCCTGAATTACATTTCACCTTTAAGGGCCTGAGCTCTATGAGGAGCAATCTATTTGAGGCTTTCAGAATGAGATCACTTTTGCAGACAGCCTTGGGACTGATCAAGAAATGTCACGCATCATTCTAAGATGTCTTTCCCGGTTCCTTCATCACACCTACATCCTACATTAACTGATGAAACCGTGCATGCAGCCAGCCATCCTCATCAAAACTATCAAAAAGTTTATCGCCAGGGACCTCCAAACAAACAATTCCCTAGCCAGGATGCTTTCTTGCTGTGTTTTTGTTGCTGTGAGCTCTCACATATTATTTGGTCTCTTTCTAGTAATCTTTACAGCTTGCTTCACTATACTTTAGTATTATTGATGTGGGGTTTTACCCCCCCCCCCACACACACACACACAAATCATCTTACTAGGATCGATGGTAGGTAAATAAAATACACACAGATATCTAAGAAGTTGAACTCCATACCGAAAACTTGAAGAAATGTATTTCTATTACTAAAACGGTTGTTCAATACATTTGTGCAATTAGCTCAAACATCTTTAAATTTATCTATCCACATTAAATTTAGTACTCTACACTCCCAATATTCAAAATACATTTCCTATATCTACAATGTAAGGCATACACATAAGCAACTGGGCTTGCATCTATATTCCTTTTTAACCACACATAACGTTGCATCATCGTCATCATCATGTCTTGTTTAATTCATGGTCTCAACAGTTCTGCACCTGATTCAAGCAGAAGGCTACATTGAATAATTCATGTTCTGGGCAAGCAATTAGGCTTCACGTTACCTTCAGGGCTCTCTACGTAATAACCCACACCCTTTTATTTTCCCTTTCCTTTTCTTTTTGTGTCAGTCTGTCTGTCTGTGTGTGTAACATTAATGTGTGTGTAACATTAATCTCTATGTATGTCTCTACATTTGAACATCTAATCTCTCCCCCCCCCCATCTCTCTCTCCCTCTCTCTTTCTCTCTCTGTCTCTCTCTGTCTCTCTCTCTCTCTCACTCTCTCTCTCTTTATCTCCCTCTTCCTCTCTGCCTCACCCTGCCCCCAATCTCCCTCTCTCTCTCTCTCTCTCTTTATTTACCCCCATCTTTTGCCCTTCCTCCCACGTCCCCATAGTCTTACCTGTCTCACTCTAGATTTTCACACATTCACACATTTCAGATCCAAAGTATTTCCATTTCTCAGCCTCTCTCTCTCTTCTCACAATCTAATTAGATACAGCCCAACCTGTCTTGATATTCACCTCTTCATAAGGGTGACCTGTCTATGGTGGTCAGGTATTTCATCTCCCTTGAGAAAGAAATACGTGTTGTAGAACCTTTCTTGCGTGGTGACCTGTCTATAGTGGCCACTCTCTCTGTTCCCTTTGTGTGGCCTTTAACGACGGATTCGACTGTCATCCTTTAACCCCTATTCACTCACATCCAATCTCTTGCCCCTCCCCTCCTTCCTCTTTTCCCTTTCCTCTGAGCTATCCGACTCTTACTTACATGCATCTTGTGATAATGACACTTGCTAGCTTGTCCACACAGTATCCAATCTACTGGATATGCCTATGAATAATGTAACCCTATTACCCCCTGGCTATATGATCACCATATATGATCCGGGCGCTAGGGGTAATCCGTCCTTACCTCGGCTCTCTTGAGCATCTCCCACTTGTTGAGGAGCTTCATGGCAAACACGTCATCACTGTTCTTCAACTTTACTACAGCAACCTGGTAGATGGAGATAAACGCATTCATTAATTTGTTTCAGCCTCTTCAAAAGTTATTTCATAAAAGTGATAGTCTAAAGAACGATCTAAACAAAACAAAACAAAACAAATCATTTCAGAGAAAGACTTTGGTTTTTCATGTAGTGATTCCAGTATATGACCATCATCCTCGGCTATAATTAAATTAGCATTTTCAACAACATGAAGACATTTTCTCCAAATCGTGAATAACCAATTAGTAACAAGTCATATCTCAAATAATAAAATGTGTTAAATCATCTTGGTTTTTCCTCTCTTCTCGTTTCCATTTAGGGGGATGTAGGGGTAATATTGCTTTAATAGGAGCAACCTAATTTTAAACTTTAGACCAAATGGCATGATTAACATACTATCAGACACATATATGAAAGAAAATATTAGAATATTCTCACCTCTCCAAAGGCTCCCCTTCCAATAATCTTTAACGTTTCAAAGTCTTCTTTGTGCAGCCTTAGGTCCTTTACTTTCTTCACTGGAAGCTTAGCTACAAGAACAATTTTAAAAAGAAAATGACAAATATTAAAAGTTGAAAACAAAGATATTATAGAAAACACAAAACAAAACGAACAAGCAAAAAGACAAATATATGAATTATCTTTCATGGGTTTAATAGTATTTGGAAAGCAAATTATAGTTTTAATTTACACACATGACAAGTTACCTAAATAGAATACATGTAAAGTAGCAATTTATTGATCCAATTTACTAATCTCACTGGTAACTCGACCAGTTTTTTACATTTATAATTTAAATACCGGATTATTTTCTATCGGTAACCAATTTTCTAAGGGTACAAAAAGAAACGTCAGAGCTCCTGTGTACTTTTTAAAAGCCCCTGCAGTGAATATACATTTTGGAGGGCAGTGCAATTTCACATATTTGTTTGCTCCAGAGCGTTCATTACCACCTGTATTAAATGTTTTAACATTCCTTGATTGTGTTTTTCACTATGCACTTTACTCTATAATTAACATCTCAACAGTGACACACTTAACATTGGCAATGTTACAAACTCTGGGTACCACTAAAGCTCTGTGTTCCTGTTGTTTGCGATGCTCTTAAGCGTAGCATCCATTTTATCACAATTAAGTTAACCCCCTAATGGCAATTACCGTATTTAATTAATGAACGAGGCACATCATACAGCATAGCATATAGATTATCATGTGATTAACCCAATTTCATACCTCGGGGGTGCCTTATGAATACCAAGTATAATTATAGTTATATAACCTTCTTTTTTCTTTTCTTTTCTTTGTGACACTGCTCTAATTTTCATCCCAGATTTCTTTCAGGAATTAGATCTCAAGTTCCAATTCCATAAATCCCATCTCACCCTATTTCCTACTATGTAACCCTTTCCGATAAACAACAGTTCATGAATTGCAGATGAAAGTACAACTTGGCAAAAAAATGAAATCATTGATCAGTGCGCATTCATCAGACTTGATCAGGCAATGGAATAGATGCGTAGTCATAGTGAATTTATAGTGAAACAGAACATGACTCATGATCCTGTCTCTTGCATATATTGAGGCTAATAAAAATTCATTATATACATCCATAGCGGGAGGTAGAAGGGAGCGAGTGCACTATGAACGAGATGCCACCTTGCCGCCGAGAAGTGGAAGCAATATATTGTGATCTAATGGTCAAACATTCATAGAGACAGCCGACATTCAAGAACACAAACAATCTCCGCTTACATACATGTGTGCTCATGCTCTCACTAGTATCTTTCAATCTCTCACTCTCTCTGTCACTGTGTCTGTCTGTCTCTCTCTCTCTCTCCATCTCACCCTCCATCTCCCTGCCTTATCTCACTGTTTTCCCCATATACTGTACATGTATCTGTATAGTATCACTCTTTTTAAGGTTTCTCCCACCTCCCTACTCATACATAAACATGTATACAGTGTACCTGAGAGTTTGCATCAATAGTGCAAGCAATAGGCCCTAGGACTATAGAAAGAAAATAATAATGGTGTACATGTCATACACCCTGGATTATATAATTGTTTTAAACTTTCATGTCCTTGAGACAAATCTGAACAGCAGATAAAATATTGTACTAATTTCCCATGCAAATGTACACATAGCAACAACCCCAACACACAAATATGTCATACATGTACTGTATACTAGTCAAAGTATTAGTTTTTTGTTCACTGGAGCTCTTTTAGATTTTCTTGCATTAAATTGAGGCTTACATGTAGAATGCCATTTTTCTGTGTTTTACAAAGGCCCGCTTCTGAGGCTTTCCAGAGCTAATGCCCCCTCTGCTGGAATGTACTTTTTTTTTCACTGAGTCATACTTTCACCATGAGAGGCACTCTCATGGCCTCCTTGGCACATCTGAAGTACATTCATATATTACACTCATTTAGTATTGCTTTTTGCCCCATGTTGAATCACATACACTCAAGCAGCTTAGATACGTGTATGCAACAACTGAATTTTATTTATTTATTTCCTCTCATAGGGTGGATGGCCCTTTCAGCATAGCTGATTTTCAAAGGGGTCCATCACTGGTATGTGATTAACCCAGTTTTACTTGTACAGGGTATCTGCCATTATAAAAAGTGCATAAAATTTATTAACAATAGTCACTTCAGTGTACGAGATGGGACTGAATTTTTTTCTTCTGGTTCTTTGCTTACTTTTGAAATTCATTTCTGACTTGTATACAGTACAGTTTCTGTGGGTGGATTGTTTGTAATAAGTCTGGCATGGAATGCGAGGTTTCACAGGTAAAGGTCATAAAGCCAATTCTCTGGTACTAGTTCTACATTTCTATGAAAGAAACGCCATGATTCATTAGGATGCTGGTATGTTGAAGAAAAAAGATATATATTTATGTATTGAATTGTTATAATTGTTATCTAACCTACATATACAATAATTTGTGGGGGGTTCTTGGGGTGGGGGGTTCTTGGGGTGGGGGGTAAATATTTTTTAAATATCAGTGCATTACATTCTCAAATGCTTACAAGACTATTTTTTTGGGGGGAGGGGCACAAATCTCTATTAAATCTCAAAGGGGAAGCACATATTCAAATTGCATATATGTACATCACAGTATGCATCAAGCGTGGTGCTTAATTTATTGACTAATCAATACCAAAGTATAATAGTCGAATCAAGGTCACATATAATTAATTCCTGTATTTATCTCATGAAATCAATCAAATCAACTTAGTTTGCTATATTTTCAGTTCAATTATTTATATTTTGCTTTAACCCTAATAAGGCCGGGGGGGGGGGGCCATTATGGCCCCCCCCCCCTCCACGATTTTTCCGATTGCTCGGGAACGCATATGGATGGCGCCCCGCCGCTCGCTGACTTTTTTCTTTCGTGTCTTGCGCAACTTTCAAAATGTTTTTTTTGAAAATCGGACCTACGGTTACAAGGTCACGTGACCTTTTGTCTTTGCATGTCAGCCCGAAAATCGCTCATTTTCGTGACTTGTGTACAAAACATATGGAAAAGTCATTTTTCCTAAAAACAGATCAAACATGGGTTATTGGGTCTTGTTTAAAGTTTAGGTGGTTGTTTTGGGAGTCAAAATAGTTGAATTGTAGTAAGAAATGAAATAAAACAACAAAAACAATAAAATACATAAGTTAAAAAAACAATGAAATACATAAGAAATTATCAAAACAAGGGATAACATAAGGAATAAGCTGGCTCTTCCGAATTTTTTTGTCGTATTATCATTCAGAATGGTCTAATGAATATATGTAGTGAAAAGGAATGTTTAAGTGTGAATAATATATGATTTATGGGTAAAAATGTGATTTTTATGACTTTATTTGCATAAATTACCATAAATATGCAAATGAGTGAATTTTTCAAAAATTGAAATTGTCATATTATTCTATACACTTCACTTGACATGCGTGCAAATTTTCGCGGCAATCGGCCGCTTCGCGGCCGAGATCTTAGGGGGGGGGCCATAATGGCCCCCCCCGGCCATACTAAGACCTCAAATAGCCCGGCCTTTTTAGGGTTAATCTTTTACTTGTGTGTTTATCTGCACGTATCGGCATCAACAAATAAACACAATATTTATTCATAATAAAATCAAAATATTGTAATCTCAATGGTGGATGTACTTTTCTCCACCTCTTTCCAATGTTTACATGACTAAAAGGTGACCCGGTCAGTGAAAAAGAAGTACACACACCAAACATAAATAGAGGCAGTAATAGGCAAGCAAGCAGGCAAGGATGGGACAGGTTGAAATGCCAATATTCATGCTCAGTGAGTTCCCTTCAGCCCAGGGCATCTCACTATAAAGCAGAGGATCAAGACGGACCTCCCTACCATGTAGGCTTTAATCAAAATCTCACAATTCATTTTCTATTAAATACTTCCATCCCCGCCAGTTGTCACATTCCTGCCGCTATACCGACTACGACCAGCCAGCCCACGGAAATGTCACAGCCGGTCTGGGGTCCTTGCTGTATTTTCGGTACAACAACACATGGGACTATGAGAGGACAGGGAGTTAATTGTCAAATCTCATCGATGAGACAGTCAGTGGAATGAGAAGGGAAAGGGGAGGTGGAAATAGAACAAGCAGAGTATATAAAAGAAAAAATCACAGTTGTTCTGGTGATCATTCAAAGGGACCTTGCAACGATGTGTTAAAAGTTAGACTCCCTACCAGACTGTAATCTTTCAGACAGTGAAGAAAACCCCCTCAATATTTTTACCAATCTCTGGTAGTCTCTACACATGAGAACAAATTGAAATTTTATTCAAAATTGCAATTCAGTCTTATGATACAAGTTTTGTATTTGATGTAGAAATAACTGCTATGACGACAGGCTAATATAACTTATAAGAAGCTGCTTCATCATGATATGATGACAATCGTAATGTATATTTTGACTACTTCAACTACTGGAGAGAAAAGAAAAATACTAGCAGACTTGGTTATGATCTATGTCAAAACTAGAATAGGTCTACTTTCATATGTAAAGGGAATGATAACATTTAGCAAGTCTGAAAAAACAGATTAAGAGACAGATATCACCGAGTATAGAATATCAATAAAAGAGTTTGTATTCCTAAGACTAACATAGAAGCTGCCCTCTCCTTTGCCAGTGCACTTGTGTTTGACAGCCTGTATACATTGGCAATGAGTCAGTCCCATTACTTGAAGAGCAAGTCCAAAGGTGCTTCGTACACAATTACATGTATTTGTATTGAGTGTGCATAGACCAACCGTGCAGTGCTGTATGCATGACAGTGCGTGGCAGAACCTTGACTTGATATGTACAATGTAATTTTGACAAGTAAACAACGGGTTGAAAACTTCCTTTTTGTGTGTATTTTGCAGAGTGTCAGAGTAAAACGTTTTGCAGGAAATTTACTGTGCTTGTAAATGTATATTTCACTCTGACTCAGGTACAGAAGTTGTACAGAAGTTGTAATAATACTGAATGAGTCTCGAAAATAGCATTCATATAATAAAC